TTAACCCATAAAACATTATCAAGCAGTGCTAATAATAATCTTCACCATATTATCTTTTAGATTAAAAAAGATTTTACATTTCTTCTCATTTTTTCTAATAATATCAAATATTAGAACTGTCTTGAGATAAAATAAACCAACAATCAAGGATTCCTTTTTAAATTTATTTCTGTAATTTCATCTTTTGGCTAATGTTAAAAACTGAAAGCACATTTAAAAATAAATTTCATGTTTGTCAAAAGTAGTTCAGGTTTACATGTGTGGAATTAGGTTAATTATAATACTTACCTTCATTGTCTGACAAAAGGTAGACAAGGACAAAAAAGTTGGATTTTTCATTAAATTTAAGACTCTGACTTTACTTGGAGCATGAAGTAACCACCTTCTGATGTGCAGTCTATTGTGAGAGCAGTGTTCATTAAGTAGGAAACCTTCTATATCCTGAGGTGCATCCCCTTCCCATGGCACATCTAACTGAAGGAACCTGTTGGTCCTGCCACTCAAATACTTAGTAAAACAAGCCAGAACATTCTTCATCTACCACTCTATAATTTTTCTCTGTTCATTTTTTGTGGTTATTTAGAAATATAAATATTGAATGCATTAAAAATCTATAACTCCAGTTTACACATGATGCAAATTAAGATGATCTAATAGAAAGACACATATATATACAGTGCTATAAAATATAATGACTAGCTTGGCTGCTATGTATCCAACTGAATTTGTCCATCTTTCCACAAATTTCCTTCAACTGTTGCAACCCAGAATTTCAACTCATTGCAGCAAGAGTTCCTGTCAAGCACCTCCTTAGACTGATAATAAAGTAATAAAATAGTTTTCTGCAAGTAAAATAGTATTCTGCAGACACCTCACACAAACACACATAGACTCACACTCAAAAAATGCAATTAAGGTGAATATTAGTTACAGCTGCAGCAGCCTATTATATGCATGTAAATATAAAGATTAATGATTAGACAGATGAAAGACGATATTTTAGAAACATACATCTTCATCACATCCAAGTATAAAATTGCCATTTATAAGGTCTATATATTTACCTACCAATTTTGAATTGTTGTGAGTAATTCACTTTTATTCTAGATTATTAAAGTGCTTACGCAGTATTGATTTTTCTTTTAATTTGCATTTTCATAATTGGCAATAATGACAAGCATCTTTGACGTGATTATTTAACTCATACAAATATATACATACATATATTTATTAAAATAAGTATGCCATCTATTCAATTCCTTCATATATTTCAGTCTATTTCTTCTTAGGCTGTTGTGTTTAGAGAGTCTCCATATAGTACACATATATTTACTTTGATGGATATGTGATTTGCTAAAAATTTTTGACACTGTAGCTAAAATTTTATTTGCTCATTCTGTTAAGAATATCAACATAGAATAAAATGATTTAGCATTGATGAAATCAAATTCATATTTGATTTTTTTTATTGTGCTTTTGGTGATATATTAATGCAGGATTCCTGTCACTGGTCACAAATACCTTTTCATGTATTGTTTTGTAACAAGTGTGTAACATTCCAATATTAAGTCACTGATGCATCTTTGAGTTTCTTAAGGTATGAATTTGGGGTCTGAGGTTTGGTTTTCTTTGTATTCCAATATTCAACCTCTCCAAAGTCATCCATTTTAAAAGAACGTATTCTCTTCATTGAAAAACCTTTGCATCTTTCCCAACAAACAATAGCCCAAGCTTCCCAAAGGAATGGAAAGACCAATACAGAAAACAGTAAAATAAGACACAACTGTCAACTGCACTCTTAGGACTAAGATGTACTATGCATATGTGTATGTGTCAGCTCATCACAATGAACCAATCCATTATGTATCACAAATATGGATTAATATTTTTTAGAAATCTGGAATGATATAGACATAAAGCAATTACAGGATGTTTGAGACCTTAAGCAACCTCAGTGAGAGGAACATTAACGTGCTGTGTTTTCATAATGGCCCCTTCCCTATGGCCTCAGTCGCATGCAACAGATTGACCAGGCCTCCATATGCTGGAAGGCAGGCAGCTCCGTTAGATGATAGTAGAAGGCACAGCAACTTCAAGTAGACCCAGGGGCTTCAATTTCCAAGATTATTGTTATAAATAATGGCAATCTCAGTATAAATCATCAAGAAAGGCCAATGTTATTTCTACTCTAGGGTCTCCCTAAGATTTGGAACAGATTAGAAAAATCATTTTCCAGGGATTTTTGTGGAATGAGAAAATGAAAATGGACATTAATAAAGTCGTATGTGTTGTGATGTGGAAGACCATGTGCAAGTGGAAGGTTGCACACACTCGTATGAGTCCAGAGAACTCTCAGATTGAACGTGAGCTTTTAAATGCAGAAAGCACAATCTACCACATATTTGTAATAAACTAATAAAATGTGAATACATTGTCCAAAGCAACCATGGATTCATCAGTAGATGGTAAATTTTTTGCTGGTTCAAACATTCAAGGACAGTTTCCCATAAACTAGCACAAACAATCAACAAATGGGATCTCTTCTTATTAAAAAGCTTCTGCACAGCAAGAGAAACCACCAGCAGTGTGAAGAGACAACCCACAATGTGGGAAAAAATCTTCACCTGCTCTTCCTCAGACAAAGGCCTACTATCTCAAATCTATAAAGAACTTAAAAAGATCAGACCTCCCAAATTTAAAGACCCAATCTAAAAATGGGCATCTGAAATGAACAGACATTTCTCAGACAAAGAAGTAGAAATAGCAAATAAATACATGAAAAAATGTTCAACATCACTGGTAATTCGAGAGATGCAAATGAAAACAACCCTGAGATTCCACTTCACTCCAGAAAGAATGGCTGCTATCATGAAATCAACCAATAACAAATGCTGGTGGGGCTGTGGGGAAAGAGGAACCCTGCTCCACTGCTGGTGGGAGTGTAGACTGGTGCAACCACTGCAGAAATCAGTATGGAGATACCTCAAAGAACTAGGACTGGAAGTCCCATTTGACCCCGCTATTCCACTGCTTGGGATCTTCCCCAAAGAATTCAAAGAATCATACCACAGTGATATATGTGCCCCCATGTTCATAGCAGTGCAGTTTGTTATAGCTAAAACTTGGAAACAGCCCAAATGCCCATCAACTGGAGACTGGATCAAGAAAATGTGGTTTTTTAATAAAATGGAGTACTACTCAGCCATAAAAAATGAGAAATTAGAGACATTTATAGCTAAGTGGATGAACATTGAGGCAATACTCTTAAGTGAAATAAATAGGACACACATGTGTAAATACTGAATAGTTTCTCTGGTGTGAGCAACTGCAAGTGTAAATAAGGACTAAATGTATAATAGGTCATGTGAAATAGGAAGAAAAGGGGCAAAGGGGAAGGAAGTGGGAGGGCTAAGGGAAAGGATAAAAGGGAATGGGATTAATATGAGAAAATGGAAAAATAGGAACAAAATCTTTGTAAATAGGGAGGGCTGGAGAGGTTGAAAGGAGGGCTGGGCAAGGGTGAAAAATAAGAACCAAGAGAGACTATGTAAAGGTGCAAATTTCCAATGATGAATGTCATTATATTGTATACCTAAAATGTACCAATGATTAGAATGAATAATCGATAATGTAAAATAGGAATAAAAGGTGCAAAGGGGTAGGGGTAGTGGGAGGCACAGGGGAAAGGAAAGAAGGGAAAGGAAAAAATGATGAGAAATGGAAAAAATGGAAATAAAGTCTTTGTAAATAGGGAAGGGTGGAGGGCGTGATGGGAGGGCTAGGAATGGGGAAAAAATAAGAACCAAGATGCATTATGTAAAGGTACAATTCCCAATGAGAAATGTAATTGTGTTGTATACCTACAATGTACCAATAAAATAATTTAATACAAAAAAAAATTTCAAGGACAGTTTGTGTGATGACCAAGCCACAGCTTACCAATGGGATTGCTATGTGAAGTCAGTCATTGAACTATAAAAATAATTACACTTTTTAAAAAATGGCAAAACACATCAGGCACTCAACACTATAATCAAAGTAGTTCCCTAAAAATTAGTTCCCACAAATGATTAACCAAATACAGGCTGACAACAAATATTCACAGATAAGAATAAAATCCACAGTTGTTATAGTACATTAGACAAATTTTTCAGCTTTAATCAAAGTCTTTGGAAACTAATGTAAAAAGAAACTGTGAGCTATGGAAAGAATAAAAATCTCTAAGTTCCACAGTTATTTTTCAACATACTGATTTTGTTTCCTTTGAACTCAAAAAGACTAGGTGATTCCAGGATCACATTGGAATTCTACTTACAATTTTTGAAGGACCTTCATATTGTTTATCAAGATGTTTAGTCTAATTCTTACCACCTGAATGGAAACGTGCTTTATTCTCTGTCCATGTGCAACACCCCTGTTTTCAACTTTTTGGTAATAATCATTCTAGTAGGTGTGAATTGACAGGCTTTAAATTTGCTCTTCTCTGTTTATTAGTGATGTTTTAGATGTTTTCCCATAAGTGTTACTTGTTTTTATGTCTGTAGAATTGTCTACTCATGTCTTTCCCCTATTTTGATGTTATTTTTATTGAGTTAATTGAATTCCCTATATATATTTGATGTGAACCCCTTATAAAATATATGGATTATGTTTTTCACATTTCATATGTTGTCTTTTCACTCTAGTAATCACTTAACAACTATGAGCAGAACAGCTATGTTATAACTTCATATATTGTTCATAGTATTTATGTAGAATATGGAACAAACATTAAATTTCATTCATGAGGTCATAATTTCTTCATACACAAAATATTTAAGATATTCTGATTTGCTGAGTATATCTCCAAGCACAGTAAATTTCATGCTAGTATACAAAAATAACACATACATCATAACCTCAAAGAGATTGATATGTCCAAGCAAAATGTAAAGAATTGAAATGTTTGTCTGATAACTGTATCATAAGGAGATTAAAAAATTCTAAATAAACTCAGGTCATTATATTTTTAGTAATAATGTTCTCAGTGCCACAATGACATCCTTGTTCCTGAGGCTGTATATCAAAGGGTTGAACATGGGAGTAACAATAGTATAGAAGAGGGACAGCAGTTTGTCAGTTCCTGAAGAATGGCTGGACATTGGCCTTAGGTAAGTGATGGTACCAGATCCAAAAAATAGCACCACAACCAGCAGGTGGGAGGAGCATGTGGAGAAGGCCTTGGTCTGTCCTTGGGTTGTTGGCAACCTCAGAACTGTGGAAATGATTTTGCTATAAGAGGCAAGGATCAATATGAAAGGGACAGCCACAAACAACATTACTACCACATAGACAGACATCTCATGAGCAGAAGTGTCCCCACAGGCCAGCTTCAGAATGGGGGGTATGTCACAGAAGAAGTGGGGGATTTGGTTGGAGTTACAGAAATGCAGAGAGAATATCTGGCATGTTTGCCCTATCTGGACTGGGATTCCACCCAGCCAAGAGCAGGCTGCAAGCTGAGCACACTTCTTTGGGTTCATGAGCAGAGGATAGCGCAGAGGGTAACAGATGGCCACATAACGGTCATAGGACATTACGGCCAGCAGGAAGCACTCAGTGGATCCCAGCACAAGGAAGAAACACAGTTGTGTGGCACAGCCCAACACAGAAATATTTCTATTCTGTGTCCAAAGACTGAAGAGAATCCTAGGAAGAGTTACTGAAACATAACAGATTTCCAAAGAAGAAAAATTTGCCAGGAAAAAATACATGGGTCTCTGTAGTGCAGGATCCAGGATTGTTATTATGATTATGAGGCCATTTCCAATAACCACAACCAAGTAAATGATACCGAACAAGCCAAACAGAAACCCCTGGAGGTTTGAAAGGTCAGAAAATCCTAGCAGGACAAAGTTCCTCACCATTGAAACATTGCCTCCTGCATTTATCTCTTCATGTGTCATCTGTGGGAAGAATTCAGCTGAAGTTGAAGTTATTTCCCACTCCTTAGCTTTTTTAATTCATATGCAAAACAAAGATGATATGTTTCCAAGTTTCCCAATTCTCTGTAAGATCAAAGCCTTTGATTTTTATAAGCTACGAAGTTTTAGTGGAAGATCTTTTTTTTACCAGGTATATCCATAAGCAAAATTTTATGTTATTTTCTGCTAAAGTTCCTCCCATGTGCTTGTTTCTGAGAAGGAAGCACACCTCTTAAAATTTTCACATGAATACTCAAAAATACCAACTTTGACGTTTGTTCACTTACAGCTATAATTCCTTTCTATTTGTTGATTTCTTTCTTACCAATGTTTATTTTTTGATTCTAAGTTAAAAATTAATTCCACTGCACAGTAATATTTTGAGATATTTAAAATAATTTCAGGAAGTATATTTTTATGATCTTTAAAAATCATGTACAGTAAGGTAATCCCACTTTTTATCTTTGAACTTCTGAATTTATAGGTTATTTTATTATGTTTAAAAGGATCAACAGACTTCCAAAACTTATAGTATGATTTTAAATCTTTAAATGTTTTCATTACAATGTAAAGTCTCTGAAATCCAAAGTCATACATTTCTATTAGACATTATAGTCTAAGTGATTTTAAGACTGTTGCTAAAGAACTGAAATGGTATCAAATTATTAAGATTGTTTTTCTATCCAGACAACCTCAAGAGTAAAAAACAGTCTCACTATTCATAAAACAGTTCTATGTGGAAGTTGAAGATCTTTGCTCTGAACAAAAGCCAATTTATAAAATGGACATCAACCACAAATCTTCTCTAAAATTAGTTACTTAAATCATTTATATTCTCACTAATAACATCTTCACTGCTGCTTTCCACAGAGTTCATTTATTCATTCAATCATGTCAATTGCATGTGTTTATGTAAATTCTTACATAAGCATGTTGCCATGTTATTATTTATTTATATTTTATTTATCTCTATGCTTTTGCTAGAGTTTCTTTGGATATATATTGTGCATACTGTCTATATAACATATAGTATAATTGCTAAACAAAATTTGAACTGCTGACTCCTAGGATAAATTTCAAATGAGTCAAATAATTTGCTTCTTGTATGCCTTGTGTATGTGTACATGTGTGTGCATGATTGTGTGGGAAGTGGCTCTGTAGAACTTATAATATATTTTTGAGTTTGCTCCTTGTTTTGGATTTTTATTTTCATCAGTGATGTTTGGCAGTCCATAATGATCAGGCTCACCATGCAGAGTTGGCAGGAGGTGGCATAATGATTCACTCTTGCAGAAACAACCCCTCCCTTTGTTGTAAATACTTGCTATGGAATTTCAACTTCATTGTAACTAACTTAAACACAAAGGGACTAACTCACTGCACACAGAAGGCATAGGCCAAGCATCTGCTAAGAAGGTTAACAAGGAATGGTAGATTTCAGCCTCAAAGTGTAGAGAGAAAAGAAGAAGGAGCAACAGTCCATGCCAGCCTGGGGTATCCTGAGAAGTTTCTTTGGTTGACAATAGAAACAGTAAATAGTACATGTTATTCCTTCTGAAATATTAAATATTAAAATAGTGAGGATTCTTAAAGTTTCTTCCATGGTTATGCAATTACATTAATGAAAATTATGATAGTAGCATGTAAACATGTTTTAACTATAACTCCAAGGTAGAGAGAATTATATAACAAGGGTCAAAACTGAGATATGATTTCAAGGCTTTGAATCTATACCATGGGGTTATTTTGTTATGTAGCATCCTAAAGTTGCAAACATATATGCTTCTATTTAATTAGATCTAAAATTAAGACAGACAATAATGAAATCTTGACTGAATCATCAGCTTATTAGAAACTACCCTGCTTTATATATCCCACATTTGTTTATATTACCATTGTCTCGGAAATTTATATATATATTTTCTTTTTATTTGATCTTCCCTTTCTAAAGGTTCTTTCCTGTGCTGTATGTTATTCCTCACTATTGAAGGAGGAGTATACATTTACAAAGGAAATTACATCGATTTCTAAAACAAATAATAATATTTTAAAAACACCTGAGCAGACTTGCACATCTACTTAAATCTCTAATTTTGTTTTTTCTGTTTGATGAAACTGTCTCAAATTTCTGTTTGTAAATATAACAGCAACTTTATGAATGTTCAATGAAACTCTTTTAAAAATATATAAAATAATAAACGTTGTAATTACTGAAGTCTATCCAAATTGTACTCATATTCTAAACATGACCTTGCCTAAAGAATTTTCTCAAATCATTCAAAATTCTCACTGGTTTCTCTCACTTTTGAAAAATTTTAGGAATTTCTTTTTTTTTTTTTTGAGCAATTTGTACATCATTATAAAATAAATAGCAGTAGATGTTTAAGGTAAATTCGAAACCTTTCTTTTAATTAAATATTTCATGTTCATTTTAGTCACATTATTTTTGACACAATGGTTCACTTTGGTGCAGATATTTTTATACTATCAAAAGCATTGCTGTGACATAGAGATTATACTCTAATTAAGTTTATGAAATTAAATAGAAGTTAGGAGATAAAAGGAGATAGTTATTAGTGCATCATTTCAGAAAGTGTTATTTTTCCTGACAGAAGTCTCTAAATATAGAACTGAAAACATGTTAATATTTCTATAAAATTTTATATGCCTTAATCATGAATATTACCTCTTAAGAAGTGGGAGTACCTTTGATAGTAGTGTGATGTCGACCTCTTCAGTAATGTCCATTCAATATTTTTGCTCCTCTCTGGGAGGTAACTCTGGCTTCATAAGATAAAGCCTTCACATTAATGCATATAAAATACTTAAATATATGATTCACACATTATAATTACTGAATAAAAATTACCAATAAAAGGTTATGAAGCAATTGTAATAATAACCTTTACTGTATTAGCTTTTTAGATTAAAACAGATTTTACTTTTTGTTCTCATTTTGTCTAATAATATCAAATATTAGAACAATTTTGAGATGAAATTAATCAACAATGAAAGATTCCTTTTTAATTTTTTTCTGTAATTTCATCTTTTTGCTAATGTTAATAAATGAAAGATCATGTAAAAATAAATTTCATGTTTGTTAAAAGTTGTTCAGGTTTATATATGTGGAAATAGGTTAATTATAATGCTTAACTTTATTGACTGATAAAAGATGGATTTTTCATTAAATTTAGGAGTCTGCCTTCACTTGTAGCATGGGGTAACCTCCTTCTGATGTGCAGTCTATTGTGAGAGCAGTGTTCATTAAGTAGGAATCCTTCTATACCCTGGGGTGCATCCCCTTCCCATGGCACATCTAACTGAAGGAAGCTATTGGTCCTGCCACTCAAGTACTGAGTAAAATAAGCCAGAACGTTCTTCATCTACCACTCTCTGTAATTTTTCTCTATTCATTTTTGTGGTTATTAAGAAATATAAACATTGAAAGTATTAAAAATCCATAACTCCAGATTGCACATGAAACAAATTAAGATGATCTAGTAGAAAATCACATATACAGGGCTATAAAATATCATGGCTAGCTAGACTACTATGTATACAACTAAATTTGTCCATTTTTGCTTTAATTTCCTTCTATTATGGCAACCTAGAATTTCAACAAGTTGCAGGACCAGGGATTTAGCTCAGTGGTTTTGCTGCCTGCCATGCAAGCACAATGTTCTGAGTTCAAGTAAAGGTACCTACCAAAAAATAAATAAATAAAATAGAAAGAAATCAACTAATTGCTGCTAGAGTTCCTGGTCAAGCACCTCTTCAGACTGATTATAAAATAATAATATATTTTTCTGTAAATAAGATAGTTTTCTGCAGACACCCCACACAAACACATATAGACTCACACTCAAAAGATGCAGTTGAGGTGACTAGCAGCTATAGCTGCAGCAGCGTAGGATATGATACAACTATAAAGATTAATGATTAGACAAACAAAAGACTATATTTTAGATGCATACATAATCATCACATTCATTTGCAAAAAATTGCCATTTATAAGAGTTGCATATCTACCTACCAATTTTGAATGATGTTATGATTCATTTATTTTAATTCTAGATATTAAAGTATATATGCAGTATTGATTTTGTTTTAATTTACATTTTAAAAATTGTCAGTAATGACAAGCATCTTTGATGTGATTTTTTAACACACACACACACACACACATATATATATATATGTTTTACTAAAATAAATATGCCATCTATTCAATTCCTTCATATATTTCACTCTATTTCTTCTCAGGCTGATGTGTTTAGAGAGATCTCCATATAGTCTACAAATGTTTACTTTGATTGATATGTGATCTGGTAAAATTTTATTTACTCCGTAGCTTGTATTTTCATTCTGTTAAGAATATCAACAGAATAAAATGATTTAGCATTGATGAAACCAAATTCATATTTGATTTTGTGGATTGTGCTTTTGGTGATATATTAATGCAGGATCCCTGTCACTGCTCACAAATACTTTTCCATGTATTGTCTTGTAACAACTATACACTTTATTGTTCTGTTATTAAGTCACTGATGCATCTTTGAGTTTCTTAAAGTATGAATTTGGGGTTTGGGGTTTGGTTTTCTTTGTAATCAAAAGTTCAACCTCTCAATTACAAGATGTTTGAGACACCTTAAGCAACCTCAGTGAGAAGGACATTAATGTGCTGTGTTTTTGTAATCACCCCTTCCCTATGGTCTCAGCTGCATGGAACAGATTGACCAGGCCTCCACATGCTGGAAGGCAGGCAGCTCCATTATGACTATGGGAGAAGGCATAGCAACTTCAAGTAGAATGAGGGGACTGTAATTTCCAAGATTATTGTCATAAATAATGACAACCTGTGTATAAGTAATCAGGGAAGGCCAAGATTATTTTACTCCATGTTCTCCGTAAGTTTTGATCCAGATTAGAAAAGGCATTTGCCAGGGATTTTTGTGGAATGAGAAAATGAAAATGGACATTATTAATTTGTATGTGTTGTGATGTGGACG